GGCCAGGAGTTTGAGACCACCCTGAGCAACACAGCAAGACCCTGTGTCTACAAAACAACAACCAAAAAAAGCTGGGCATGGTGGTGCATAACCATAGTCCTTTAAACAAGTGAATAATATGCTCAAAAAAACAGATAGTATAACTTTTTTTCCAAGAGTATAGAAATCTATAAAAAATAAAGGAAAGGAAATTCTACAGCTGAAAAATAACTAAAATTCAAAACTCAATAGAAAATAACAATGAGCTACCACTACACACCTATTAGAAGGCTAAAATCCAAAACACTGACAGCACCAGATACTGGCAAGAAATGTGGAGCAAAAGGAACTCTCATTCATTGCTGGTGGGAATGCAAGATGGTACAGCCACTTTGCAAGACAGCTTGGCAGTTTTTTACAAAGCTAAACATACTCTTACCATATGATCCAGCTATCATACTCGTTGATATTTACTCAATGGTCTGAAATATCCACAGGAAAAGAAAAAAGGATGAAAAATGCAGAAAAGAGTATGAGATATAAGGGTCATACTGAAAAGATCTAACATATGCACTTAAGAGTCCTAAAAGGAGAGGAGAGACAGAATAGCAGAAGGAACATTTGAGAATACACTTGTCAAAACTATATGAAGATGGAAAATAAAAGCAAGTCACATATTCAGGAAGCTCTAATAAACCCAGTCAGGATAAATGCAAAGGCTACACCTAGACATATCATATTAAGCTTCCGAGAACCAAAGACAAAGAAAAGTCTTAAAACCAGCCAGAGGGAAAAAATAAAAGACACACTACCCTTCAAGATGCAATAAAAAAACTTCATCTTTGAAGTGTTCAAAGAAGATAATTACAAATCTAGAATATAGCTGCAAAAATATACTAGAAAAACAAAGGTGAAAAAAAACTTTTACACTGAGTGAATGTATTGCTAGCAGATGGTCATTTAAGAAATACTAATGAGAATTCTTCAATGCAGAAAGATAACCCACACAGAAATATGAAAATGCTTCTGTCTGTACAGAATGAAGAATAGAAAAAGTAAAGATGTGACTAAATCTAAATAGACTTTGACTTACAAAACAATAATGTCTTGTACAGTTTAAAATATATGAAAAATAAAAACACAGGATGTCCCAAAAGTTACCAGACGTAGGGAAAATGGGAAATTGTAGCTAAATGTACTTTTATTTACAAAATGTTCATTACAAATTTTTTTCAAAATTTACAATTTCCCATTTTCCCTATGTATGGTGACTTTTGGGACACCTTGAGGATAAAAATAAAAAGGTAAAGTATTCTAAGGTCCTTCCATTTTCCAGGAAGTGGTAAAAGTACTAAATAATAGAACTACTAAAACAAAGGTGCATGTTATAATCTCTAGAGTAATCCACTGAACAAAAAGTGAATGTATAACTATCAAGTTATTGGAGGGAACAGAAATAAGGGGAGAGGAAAGAACAGATGTAACAAACAGAAAACAGAAAGATGGACGGTTTGAAACCAAACATATTGGTGATCGTGTTAAATGCAAATGGCTATAGGTCAATAAAAGACAAATTTAAAAAACAAAACTCGTCTATATATATGCTGGGTTTTGGTATAAGGATAGACAAATATTTCAATGTAACACAGCAGAAAAGTCCAGAAACAGACCTATGGAAAAACAGCCACTTGATACACATACATGACAAAAATGTCACTGTAGTACACTGGAAAAAGGAAGGTTTTTTTTTTCAATAAATGGTGCTGGATCAACTAGTTAAATTCATTGGGGGAGAAAAACAAATCTGAATCCTAAACTCACAGCATATACAAAATTTAACTCCAGGTAGATTATAAATCTAAATGTGAATGCACAAAAATAAAACTTCTATAAGAAAACAGGAGGATATCTTTGTCACTTTGAGGTATAGGAAGCAGAATACAAAAACATATTAAAAATAAAGGAAAAGATTAACTGAATTGATAACATCTTCATTAAAAGATTCTTTTGAGAGTAAAAAGACATACCACAGAGTGAGAGAAGACATTTGCAACACTGTAAATGTATCTGAGAAAGGACTCCCAACCAGAATGCATAATGAACGTCTATGAAATAGGGAAAAGGACTGAAACAGGCACATCAAAACAGGCAATCTGGCTGGGCGCGGTGGCTCACACCTGTAATCCTGGCGCTCTGGGAGGTTCAGGTCGGCAGATGGCTCAAGGTCAGGAGTTGGAAACCAGCCTGAGCAAGAGCAAGATCATGTCAATACTAAAAATAGAAAGAAATTAGCTGGACAACTAAAAATAAATAGAAAAAAATTAGTAGGGCACGCTGGCACATGCCTGTAGTGCCCGCTACTCGGGAGGCTAAGGCAGGAGGATGGCTTGAGCCCAGGAGTTTGAGGTTGCTGTGAGCTAGGCTGACGCCAGGGCACTCTAGCCCGGGCAACAGAGTGAGACTCTGTCTCAAAAAAAAAATATTTTTTTAAAAATTAATTTAAAAAAAAAAGAGGCAATCTAAAAAGCCAATAAATATACAAAAAGGCACAAGCCATCAGGTAAACATAAATTAAAGCCAAAATGAGAGACTTCTACTGGACCCACACTAGAATAGCCAAAAATTTAAAAACTGATAATAGCAAGTATTGGGAAAGATGCAGAGCAACTAGAACTACGACACACTGCTAGTAGAAATATAAACGCCACAACTTCTTTGAAAATGTCTTTGACAATATCTGAAAATGATGAGATACACATACTCTATGATTCCACTCTGTTGTATAAATCATATAGAACTGTGTACATATGTGCACTAAAACACATGTACATGAAAATTCACACCAGCACTATTAGTAATAGCCAAAATCTGAAGAAAAAAAAAACCCACAAACAACAAAATATCTATCAAGAGTAGAATAACTAAACTGAAGTATGCTTACACATGGGATACTACATAGCAATGGAAATAAATTAATTACAGCTATTTGCAACAACACAGATAATCTCAAAACATAAATAAAAGCAGCCAGACATAACATATATAGTATGTTTCCATTTATGTAAGGATTAAATACCTGCGAAACTAATCTAGACAAAAATCAAAATACTAGTTACCTTTAACTGAAGGGGGAACAAGAGAAAATTCTGGAAGTACTGGCAATTTTTTTTTTTTTGATTGAGGAATAGTTGTATGAGAACATTCACTTTGTAGAAACTCATCAGTTTCTACACTATGATTTGATAACTGTATACCTCTCTGTATTATGTTATATTTAAACTTACAAGTTTATCAAATGTGGGGGTTTTTGGGGGGGGTGATAAAAATGTTTTGAAGCCGGGCGCGGTGGCTCACGCCTGTAATCCTAGCACTCTGGGAGGCCGAGGCAGGTGGATTGCTCGAGGTCAGGAGTTCGAAACCAGCCTGAGCAAGAGTGAGACCCCATCTCTACTATAAATAGAAAGGAATTAATTGACCAACTAATATATAGAGAAAAAATTAGCCAGGCATGGTGGTGCATGCCTGTAGTCCCAGCTACTCGGGAGGCTGAGGCAGTAGGATCACTTGAGCCCAGGAGTTTGAGGTTGCTGTGAGCTAGGCTGACCCCACGGCACTCTAGCCCGGGCAACAGAGCGAGAGACTGTCTCTAAATAAATAAATAAATAAAGTTTTGAAACTAGATAGAAGTGGCAGTTGCACAACTTGTGAACGTGCCAAACGCCACTGAATTGTATACTTTACAACTGTAGTCCCCAACTCTGGGCCACAGACTGGTACTGGTCTGTGGCCTGTTAGGAACCAGGCAGCACAGCAGGAGGTGAGGGGTGGGTGAGCAAGCGAAGCTTCATCTGTGTTTACAGCCACTGTCCACTGCTGGCATCACCACGTAAGCTCTGCCTCCTGTCAGATCAGTGGCACCATTAGATTCTTTTTTTTTTTTCTTTTTTGAGACAGTCTCACTTTGTTGCCCAGGCTAGAGTGAGTGCCATGGCGTCAGCCTAGCCCACAGCATCCTCAAACTCCTGGGCTCAAGCCATTCTCCTGCCTCAGCCTCCCGAGTAGATGGGACTACAGGCATGCGCCACCATGCTCGGCTAATTTTTTCTATATATATTAGTTGGCCAATTAATTCCTTTCTATTTATAGTAGAGACAGGGTCTCGCTCTTGCTCAGGCTGGTTTCGAACTCCTGACCTTGAGCAATCCACCTGCCTTGGCCTCCCAGAGTGCTAGGATTACAAGCATGAGCCACCACGCCTGGCACCATTAGATTCTCATAGGCGCGAGGACCCTACTGTAGACTGCCATGTGAGGGCCCTAGGTTGTGGCTCCTTTTATGACAATCTAATGCCTGATGATCTGAGGTGGAGCTTAGGCACTGATGCCAGTGCTGGGCAGCGGCTACAAATACAGATTGTCACTAGCAGAGAGGTTTGACTACACAATCTAAACGTAATGTGCTTCAGTCATCCTGAAACCACCCCCAACCCCAGTCCAGGGAAAAATCTGTTTTCCATGAAACCAGTCCCTGGTGCCAAAAAAGGTTGGGGACTGCTGCTTTATAATGGTTAAGTTTATGTTGGCTGGGTATGGGTGTGGTGGCTCACACCTGTAATACTAGCACTCTGGGAGGCTGAGGAGGCAGGATCGCTTGAGCTTTGGAGTTTGAGACCAGCCTCAACAAGAGCAAGACCCTACTAGATCTCTACTCAAAATAGAAAAATTAGCTGGGCATCATGACATGCACCTGTAGTCCCAACCACTTAAGAGGCTGAGGCAGGAAGATCGCTTGAGCCCAGTAGTTTGAGGTTGCTGTTAGCTAGGCTGACACCATGGCACTCTACTCAGGGTGACAGAGTGAGACTCTGTCCCAAAACAAACAAAAAAAAGTTTATATTATATGTAAATTTCACCTCAGTTCTTTTAAAATGTTACCAAAAAATTCAACCTCAATAAAACAATGTATATATTTATTAGTAGATATTCATGACTACAAACATTGTGTTGTAATACCAAACTTACCAACTACAGTGTCACCATCTAACAAATTGTCATCTTCAGAAGTTTGAAAGTCCATAATAACACCTGCTCCATCTAAAAGTTCCTCATCACTACTCGCACTGGTTATACTGTTGTAGCTGTTTCTATAGTAGCCTCTATGGAACAGCTGCTCAGACTCCATTTAGCTGTCTGATTATCTGGAAAAAAAAAGGAGGGTGGGAATGGTTTTAACATTTTCCAAACATATAATAAAAATCATCTAGCTTAACATCACAAAAGGAAAGTTATAATCTCTATATTTAAAAAAAATTGCATTCACTCACTGTAATAATAGCTATATCTATTAAGTATTTGGGGGATAATTTAATAATTTTATTCTCATTATACAGCTACACAGAAAATGAAGAATTTCTTCAGGTCGTAGTATAAAAGAATCTCTAAGATCAATTATTAAGTTAAAAAATGTAAAGTACAGAGAAATGTTTATAGTAAGCTATAATATATGTGGGATTTTTTTCTCCTCACAAAAATAGGGGGAAGTAGAGTAAAAAACATAGTGCACAACTGTTTGTGTATGTATAGACTATCTCAGGAGGGATTTCCAAGAAAGTTGACTAAAGGGAAGGGAAAATATGGCTCAAGTACCAGGTGTGAGAGAGAGACTGTTCATTTTGAATATTTTAACAGGTGCAAGTACTACCTAATTTAAAAAATAAATACTGTAATTAAAAAAATAATTTTAAATATTTTCATTCGCCTTCCATCATTTTAAAATTTCAATCTTCAAAGCCTATGGTCAAACATCAGCCAATAAAAAAATAAGAAGTGACAATTGTCAAAGTAAGTGACAATTTCAAATAAGCATATATTTTCATTGTTCTTACTCTCTATATTTTTAAACCAATATTACTCCTAAATAGTTTGATTTTTAAATACATCTACTTACTTGTTCAAAATAAGAGTTGAACATAAATGTGATGACATTAGTAATAGACTTAAAAGGTGCATGTGGGAGACTTGAAAGATACTATCATAAAAGCAGTCAACCAGTAAGCCTTGTAAAACAAGACTTATTAGACATGTCATAGTAAGTACACACAGAAGATGGAAGATAAAGAATAAAAGTAGGCCGGGCGTGGCGGCTCACCCCTGTAATCCTAGTACTCTGGAAGGCCAAGGCGGATGGATCACTCAAGGTCAGGAGTTGGAAACCAGCCTGAGCAAGAGTGAGACCCCGTCTCTACTAAAAATAGAAAGAAATTAATTGGACAACTAAAAATATATAGAAAAAATTAGCCAGGCATGGTGTTGCATGCCTGTAGTCCCACCTACTTGGGAGGCTGAGGCAGGAGGATTGCTTGAGCCCAGGAGTTTGAGGTTGCTGTGAGTTAGGCTGATGCCATGGCACTCTAGCCCTGGTAACAGAGAGACTCTGTCTCAAGGAAAAAAAAAAAAAGAAAGAAAGAAACTTCACTCACATCTGGTGCCCTAGTGCTACTCCAGAATTCTCTCCACATAGCGAGCTTGGGTTTTTCACAACACTGTGGTCTCAGGGTAGTCACACCTCTTACATAACAGCCGGCTTCAAATAAGGAAGACGTAGAAGTTGCCAGTCCTATTAAAGGCTAACCTAGGAGCAAGTATGGCATCAATTCTGCCATACTCTTGGTCAAAACAAGGTTCAAGGCCAGACAAAATTTACAAGAAGGGGAAGGATCAATGTTGGCCATCTATGGAAACTATCTACTACTATCAAGTAGTTTAAACTATCAACTATCATCTAACTTTTCTCTAAGTTCATAAATATATAAGCATGTATTGTGGTTCTTTTGCCCCACATGGCTTCAGCTGGGATCACTCGCTTAGCATCATTTAGCTAGCAATCATGCTGGAGATGATGGTCCAAGAAACTTCACTCACGCCTGTAATCCTAGCACTCTGGAAGGCCGAGGCAGGCAGATCACTCAAGGTCAGGAGTTCCAACCAGCCTGAGCAAGAGTGCGACCCCATCTTTACTAAAAATAGAAAGAAATTAATTACCCAACTAAAAATACATAGAAAAAGTTAGCCGGGCATGGTGGCGCGTGCCTGTAGTCCCAGCTACTCAGGAGGCTGAGGCAGGAGGATCACTTGAGCCCAGGAGTTTGAGGTTGCTGTGAGCTAGGCTGACGCCACGGCACTCTAGCCCAGGCAACAGAGTGAAGCTCTGTCTCAAAAAAAAAAAAAAAAAAAGAATAAAAGTAAGCTTACTCCAATTCTAGAACACCTGGGAGTATTTTAAGACAATCACTTGTTCTCAGTAAATTTTCCTTCTGCACATGGAAAAATAATCTGAGCCTTAAATAATAAAAATTTATAAAACTTCTGTTGTTCCTTTTTGAAAAATAGAATATCATTGATAATAACTATCAAACAGATTTTATATATAAATTTCCTAACTTAAAGATCACTTTGGAAAAGGTGAAGTTTTGAGAGCTCCTTGAGAGCATGGCTCCATTCTTAGCATGTGACATAATGACAAGAAATGTCAAACTGTTTATTCAATCAATGAAGTCAAAAGAGAAATGTGTCAATGACAGCCAACATGCACAGGAAAAAAAAAAAAACAGAGAAATGTGTTCAGTCCGTCCTTCCCTCTCTCTCCTTTTCTTTCTTTTCTGCCAAGACTGGAGTGCAATGGTGTGTTCATACTTCACTATAGCCTTGAACTCATGGGCTCAAGTGATCCTCCTGCCTTAGCCTCCCCAGTAGATCTGGGACTAGTGCCACTATACCTGGGTAATTTTTTAAATCTTTTGTAGTGGGGTTTCAATATGTTTGCCCAGGCTGGTCTCAAACTCCTGGCCTCCAGTGACCCACCCACTTTGGCCTCCCAAAGGGCTAGGATTATAGGTGTGATTCACTATGCCCAGCCTATTCAATTTTCAATAAATGAATCCTCTCCATAATAGTATTAAACTGGTCTTGGAGGAAATAACTAAAACTAGCACATAAATTTCAAAGAAAAACTTAAATATTTACTGCTTTGTAACTTTAGGAATATTTTATAGTTACCTCTACTAAAGATGGCCTATTATACTGAGATTTGTTAGAGTATATTATAGTGAGAGTTTTATATCTAAGTTAAATGTTGAAATAGAAAAGTATGAAAATAACTGTCCACAGTAACAATTCTGCAGTTCCAGCGGGGCGCGGTGGCTCGCGCCTATAATCCTAGCACTCTGGGAGGCCAAGGCGGGTGGATCATTTGAGCTCAGGAGTTCAAGACCAGCCTGGGCAAGAGCGAGATTCTGTCCCTACCAAAAAAATAGAAAGAAATTAGCTGGACAACTAAAAAAAAACCATATATATAAGAAAATTAGCCAAGCATGATGGCACATGCCTGTAGTCCCAGCAACTCGGGAGGCTGAGGCAGTAGGATCGCTTGAGCCCAGGAGTTAGAGGTTGCTGTGAGCTAGGCTAATGCCACAGCACTCTAGCCTGGGCAACAGAGTGAGACTCTGTCTCAAAAAAAAAAAAGAATTTTGCAGTTCCATAGAGGCAACCAAAATTAAATATTGTGGCCTTTCAGTAAATAACCAAAAGGCTTTTTCAAAAAATAAACAGTAATAGTTCAAGAATCATTTAAATTTGGGAGCCAGTGGCATGCACCTGTAGTCCTAGCTACTCAGGAGGCTGAAGCAGGAGGATCACTTGACCTCAGGAGGTCCAGACCAACCTGGGCAACATGGTGAGACCCTGTCACTATTTAAAAAAAAAAGAAAGAGCCGGGCGTGGTGGCTCACGCCTGTAATCCTAGCACTTTGGGAGGCCGAGGCAGGCGGATTGCTCAAGGTCAGGAGTTCGAAACCAGCCTGAGCAAGACCCCGTCTCTACCAAAAATAGAAATAAATTAATTGACCAACTAAAAATATATATACAAAAAATTAGCCGGGTATGGTGGCGCATGCCTGTAGTCCCAGCTACTCGGGAGGCTGAGGCAGAAGGATCGCTGAGCCCCGGAGATTGAGGTTGCTGTGAGCCAGGCTGACACCATGGCACTCACTCTAGCCTGGGCAACAAAGTGTGACTCTGTCTCAAAAAAAAAAAAAAAAAAATCATTTTAATTTTGATGCATCAAAGCATGTATGCTAAGATTTTGCAAAGAATATAGACACCCTATTCTTCATTTCTTTACATGATCAGAGAAGAAGTGTTTGATACATGTGATAACATACTTTAGTGAACAATGGCTAGACAGCATTGAAAAATCTCTCTACAAAAATTAAATCTTTCTATGTACTGGGACCTATATCTGTTCCATTTCTTCCCTAAAAGTCCCTCAAAAAATCATAAATGATAACTGGAAATTTAACTCTTTCAAACTGTTAAAAAATTAATTTCATAACACCTCTTAGACAATTATATTCCTGATCTCTATAAAAAAGCATGCAACTCTGTTCCAAATAAACTAAACTCTAACCTGCATAAGTTTGCATTTCTATAAATTTGACAACTTAAGAAGAAAAAAAAAACCACCATTCTGGCTCAATACTGCATATTCAACAGTTAGCAAAATATCTGACACATTATGTGTTTAGTTTTTTTAATTAAGCTTTTTATTTTTACACAATTGTAGTTTTTCATGTTGTATAAATAATACAGAGAAATCCTGTACCTAGTTTCTATTGATAGTGACGTCTTGCAAAACTCTAGTACAATATCACAATCAGGATGCTGACATTGATAGAGTCAAGATGCACGACGTGACATTCCGTCACCGTCACTGCAGGAATCTGTCCTGCTGCCCTTTCACAGCCAGTCTCTTCTCTCCAGAGCACAAGCCCCTGGTTAACCCCTGGCAGCCCATAGTCTGTTATCTATTTCTATAGCATCGCCACTTCAAGAACATTACATAAATGAAACCACACGTTACTTTCTGCTCTTTGTTCTCAGCACGAGTCTTTGGCGGTTCATCTGGGTTGCTGTGTCTAACAACAGCTCCTTCCCTTCTATGACATAGGTGTGCCACAGTTTAACCACCAGAGAACAACTTTTTTTCCTAGGTTTTGCCAACTACGCATAAAGCTGCTATAGATATCCATCTACAAATTTTTGAGTGAACTTAAGTCTTCATTTCTCTGGGATAAATGCTGAGGACTGAAACAGTTGGGTCACATAGAAGTCACATGTTTAGTTTTTTAAGAAGCTGCCAAAC